TTTAAGGTCCTTCCCAACCTAAACCATTCTATGATTCTATGCCTTCGACTCGCAGGCCAGCGTTGCCCTGGTGGAATTAATGCTCTCCCCCCCCCCAACTTTTGGGGTCGGTCACTTTTAGAAATGAAAAGCAATGTTGATCTTAAAGTCCTGCTCAAAATTGGGAATAATTCGAGTGCTGTGGCTGGGGCGGGCCTGCTGATGAAATAAGGGGGTTTGCGGTGCCTGGCGGTGTCGGGGGGTGGGGTGGGGGTGGTCCTGCCCTCCCCAATTCCTCCTGCTGTCCGGGATGGTGGGAAAAGCCCCCCTCTCCCCTGTCCCACAGCCCAGGGATGGCAGATGGGGGTGCAGAGGGGAGGGAGGACAAAATGGTACCTGGGGTAAAGGAGAGCTTGAAGGAAGAGAGCGAAAGACAGTGTTGAAGGCAGCCAGAGGCCATAAAGTGCTTATAAGCATATAATTCATGTTGCTGGCAGGGGGCTGTCTGCGGGAGGTGCAGGTTTGGGGGAAGGATGGATGGACAGTCCCCGGTCTTTGGACAGGGCGTTGTGTGGAGCACCTCGGGGTGTTATTGACATCATCGTGGAGAAATCCCCTGCGCTGAGCTTACCGCTCCATCCAGCAAGATTTCATTCATGCTCCCGTTTCTTGATTTTTATTTTTTTTTTAATTTTTTTTTTAATTTTTTTTTTCCCCCCTATTTAAATAAGCAGCCAGGCTGGCAGAGTGTCCACCTACACACGTAGATTCATTGACACCATCAAACGCAATGCCCAGCCACGATGAGGGTTTATTTGCGGGGGGGGTCTGGCTCGCCGCACGCTTCAGCCTGTGCCACAAGTAAAGCAAGTGGCAGAGGTCTATTTTTTAATTTTTTTTTCTTTTTTTCCCCCCTGTTTTAGCAAAACTGTATTTTATTCCCTCACCGTAGAACCCCAGGTGGCTCCCCCAAATGCAGGAACAGGGGAGGGGATGCCGACACGAGGCGCCGCGTTAGTTTTAGCAGGAGCTCCAGCCCTCGGGGGAGAGAAGCGCAGGAAGGGAAACACCGGAGGATCTCCCTCCTCCGGATGTGTTAACGTTTTGCCGACGAATCCCGTCTCCGTGTCGGTTACAAAGTCTGATGTGACTGTTGTGGTGTGGTAGCTCAGTTAGCGAGCAGAGCCCTAAAATACTCTTATCGGCTGCTGCTTGCAACTGAAATACATACAGCCTGTCTGCTCTCCTGTACTGTGTGCCCAGCGCGCGAGGGTCAAGCCAGCATGTTTAAATATATATATTTATTTTAAATTATATATATATTTTTATTCCTTATATATTTTTATTCTTTATATCTATTAATTTTAAATATATATATTTAAACATGCTGGCTTGACACTTGTATGTGTGTATATATGTATATAAATATATATATCTATACGTATATAAATATATATGTATAGAAATACATAGGAATATAAATATATATATAAATATATAGGAATATGAACATATACATACAGCCTGTCTGCTCTCCTGTACTGCGTGCCCAGCGTGCGAGGGTCAAGCCAGCATGTTTAAATATATATATTTATTTTAAATTATATATGTATTTTTATTCCTTTATATAAGGAATAAAAATGTATATAAGGAATAAAAATAATATATTAAAATAATATGTGTATTAAAATA